AGACTACAATTTTTCATAGTATTCTGTTATGATTCTTTTAATTTCAGTTGGGTCTGTTGTGATATCACCCATCTCATTTCTTATACAGATTATATTCTTCCTTTTCTGTTTTGCTTTTGTCAGTTTGGCCAATGGTTTATCAATTTTGTTCATCTTTTCAAAGAACCAGCTTTTGGTCTTGTTAACTCTTTTGTTTTTCTATTCTCTATTTCATTTAATTCTGCCCTATTCTTATTATTTCCTTTCTTCTGGGGCCTGAGGGCTTCTTTTGCTGCTCTCTTCCTACTTGTTCCACTTGTAGGGTTAATGTTTTGATTATAACCCTTTCTTCTTTTTGGATGTATTGATTTTTGCTATAAACTGACTTCTGAGCACTGCTTTTGCTGTGTCCCAAAGGTTCTGGTGGGATGTGTTTTCATTCTCCTGTGAGTCTATGAATTTCTTTAATCCATCCTTAATTTCTTCTATAACCCAGTAGTTTTTGAGAAAGGTGTTGTTCAGTTTCCATATGTTTGATTATTTTTCTTTGCTTTTTCTGTTGCTGATTTCTACTTTTACGGCTTTATGGTCAGAGAAGTTGCTTTGTAACATTTCAATGCTTTAGATTTTGTTAAGGCTTGCTTTATGGCCTAATATGTGGTCTATTCTGGAGAATGTTCCATGTGTGCTGGAAAAGAAAGTATACTTGGCTGTTGCTGGGTGCAGTGCTCGGTATATGTCCACAAGATCAAGTTGGTCGACTGTGGCATTTAGCTCTTCCGTGTCTTTGTTGAGCTTCTTTCTGGATGTTCTGTCCTTCACTGAAAGTGGTGTGTTGAAGTCTCCTACTACTGTTGTGGAGCTATCTATCTCTCTTTTCAGTGCTGTCAGAGTTTGTTTTATGTATTTTGGAATCCTGTCTTTTAGTGCATAAATATTTATTATAGTTATGTCCTCCTGGTGTATTGACCCTTAAATCGTTATATAGTGTCCTTCCTTATCCTTTGTGGTGGATTTTACTTTAAAGTATTTTGTCAGACATTAATATTGCCACTCCTGCTCTTTTTTGAGTGTTGTTTGCTTGAAAAATGTTTTTCCATCCTTTGAGTTTTAGTTTGTTTGTGTCTTTAAGTCTAAGGTGGGTCTCTTTGAGGCAGCATATAGATGGATCGTGTGTTTTAATGCAACCTGTCACTCTCTGTCTCTTTATTGGTGCCTTTAGTTCATTTACATTCAGCATTTAATTATCGATAGGTATGAGTTTAGTGCTGCCATTTTGATGTCTTTTTTAGTGTGTTGTTCACAGTTTCTTTGTTCCCCTTAATTTTCTGTGCTGAGTCATTTTTCTTTATGTATTTTCATCTTTTTCATTGTCGTTGATTTTGTGTTTGCTGAGTCTTTACATTTTTTCTAGTTATTTATTTAGACTTGTAGGATTGTTAGTTTCCTTTCTGGTTACCTTAATATCTACCTCTATTTTTCTAAGTTTATACCAGTCTTTTATTTCTTTATATTGCCTTGACTCCCTCTCCATATAAAAAATCTATGTCTACATTTTTTAAGTCCCTCTTTTTTGTTTTAATGTTGCCATCATTTACATATTGACATCTGTTTCCCTATTTTCAGTGTTTTAGCTTTGATTTACTTTTGTGACCTCCCTATCTGGGTTGATATCTGGTTGCTCTGTCCTCTGTTCTAGTCTTCGGTTGTTATCTGATGTTACTGATTTTCTAACCAGAGGACTCCCTTTAGTATTTCTTGCAATTTTGGTTTCATTTTTGCAATTTCCCTAAACTTCTCTTTATCTTGAAATGCCCTAATTTCGCCATCATATTTGAGAGACAGTTTTGCTGGATATTTAATTTTTGGCTGGCAGTTTTTTTCCTTCAAGGCTTTATATCTGTCATCCCATTGCCTTATTGCCTGCATGGTTTCTGCTGAGTAGTCCGAGCTTATTCTTATTGACTCTCCTTTGTAGATGACTTTTTGCTTATTCCTAGCTGCTCTAAAATTCTCTCTTGATCTTTGGTTTCTGCAAGTTTGATTATAATATGTCTTGGTGACTTTGTTTTGGGATCTGCCTTATGTGGGGTTCGATGAGCATCTTGGACAGATAGCTTGTCATCTTTCATGATATCAGGGAAGTTTTCTGCCAACAAATCTTCAACAATTCACTCTGTATTTTCTGTTATCCCCTCCTTTTCTAGTAGTCCAATCACTCGTAGGTTACTCCTCTTGATACAGTCCCACATAATTCTTAGGGTTTCTTCATTTTTTTTAACCCTTTTATCTGATTTTACCTTAAGTTGGTGTCAAGTGCTTTATCTTCAATCTCACTAATTCTGACTTCCATTGCCTCAATTCTGCTCCTATGACTTTCTATTGAGTTGTCTAATTCTGAAATTTCATTGTTAATCTTCCAGATTTCTGATTGCTGTCTCTCTATGGAGTCTTGTAGCCTGTTAAATTTGTCATTATGTTCTTCTCTAATCTTTTTAATTTCCTCTATTGTGTGTCCTGGGTTTTGGTTAATTTCCTTCCTGATCTCTTGAAGAGTTCTGTATATTACTCTTTTGTATTCTACCTCCAGTAATTCCATGAAGTTCTCTTCCTCCAGAAGATTTCTTGATTCTTTGTTTTGGAAGCTTGCTGAAGCCACCATGGATTGCCTCTTTATGTGATTTGATATTGACTGTTGTCTCCAAGCCATCAATAAGTTATTATATTTATTTATTTTATGTTTGCTTACTATGTCCTAGCTTCTTGTTTTGTTTTGATATGCCTAAATACGCTGCTTGTATGAGCTAGTTTGATGATTGGCACTTTTGAAGCTCTAATGTCTGGTCATAAGGTAGTTAGATCTGTTACTAGGTATGTGAGCTCAGGAGTCTGCCCACTTCTCCTGTATGGATTCAGCTCAGGTGCCCAGGTAGATAGCCACCAAGTGTGTGGTGTACGCTCTCACTTACAGTCCTGACAGGCATGGGTGATTGGTGTAGGCAAAGGCATCTGGCTGCAGCAGGGGGACACACCCTGAGCAAGGCAGGGGGCTGATGACCGCCCCCTAGTGTCTGGGAGAAGGCGTGCCCTTGTTCCTTAGAGCATGTAGGCAGGTGGGTTTTGCAGCTGGACTATGAGCACCTAATGCTGTTGGCTGTAAGGACTAGGGGGCACTTCTTTTTCATGGGCCCCTATCGTAGGTGGCGTGGGTGGAGCCACCAGTCCTCATGCCCCTGATGTGGGTAGGTGAAGACCCTGCTTAATGGGCAGAGCAGTGTCAAATGTCAAGAACCTGCCACTTTGCAGCTGAAACAGTTGAAGTTAGAGTTCCGGTATACACCCTGTTGTACTGTGATAATGAGGGCCTATGCTGTTGAGATGGGCCCACACAAGTCTATTCAGCGGGAATGACATTAAAAATCCATGGATCCCTCTTGCCTGTGCCTAGGCAAAGGAGCTGTGCCAACCCTGGGTTTCTGGCTTAGGGGAGACGGCAGTTTATTTTTTCCCATTTGTTAATTTGTTCACTCTCCAGAGCAGGGAGAATGGCTCCGGGCATGTGATGGATCCTACCTCTGGCCCAGGGGACTCCGCAATTGCTGAAGCTCGTCTGGGACCCAGTGCAGAGCAGGAAGTGGGGAGGTAAATGGGAGAGAGGTTTTTCCCTAAGGGGGGTATTTGTGATCTGCCCGGTAAGCCGTATGTAAGAACTTATCTTTTGCCAATGAGAGTTGCTTCTCACTGGTTCTGGGTGGCTGTGTAGACTCTCTGGTGCTGGGTCTCTGCCGGTGCAGAAAATGCACCTCCTGAGCACTGCCACTTGCCTGCCTCACCACTCACCTCTGAGCTGCTCAGGCCTAAAGGGTTCACGCTCTTGCCGGGTCAGGTCTGGTGTCTCCTCGCTGCTTACGAACTGTCTCTCCCTCCCCCTGCCACCCAGTCCGGTTCTTCAACTCTGCGTTTGATGTTCAGAGCTCCCAGATTTCCATATATAATTGAATCACTTGTTTGTTTGGGTCTTTGTTGTAAGGGGGTCCACCGAAAGCGTCTGACTACTCCACCATCTTGGCCCCGCCTTTGTGAAGATTTTCCTGATCCCTCCACTAAGAATAAATATACCCACTTTACTCTTAGTCCCTTTTTCTATTAAACCATTTTCTTTTCATTTGTTTGAATTAAAATGACTTGTCACCACGTTTGGGATCCCCTAAGAAAAAAGAGAACCATCATCCCTGTGGCTCCAGGGGCTGGCGCAGTACAGAATACATTCTACATACACAATAAATGCAGATTAAATGTCTGCTTACATTATACTTCTTTCACTGTGCTGTCTATAAAGCAGGACCCTGGGCCTGGCTCCCTTCTTTACTCCCCATGAGCGGATCCTCATTATTCGAGAATTTCCACTGACTTGCTAAAATTTATTTGCAACCCCCAAATCAATATTCACGGTGTTTTGTGGTCATTCACAGGTATACTCATGCCCAGAGTGGTGTGCACGTTCCCAGCTGAAGCTGAACCAGGCTGGTCCCATATTTGTTAATTCAGTGTTCACGAGACTTTGTAGAATATAACTACTACAAACAATGAGAATCAACTGTATTTCATCTTTTTAATAGCTTGTTACCTCACTGTCTCCAAGAAGCTCTTCACCACTCTCAGAATCACCCTTCCCCCTAACTCCTGAGCAATCCAGTTGCATAGGATGTAACATTTGTATTTTGCTTGTCTCTTTGGTCAGATGTCATTTCTGAGTCTGCTCACATGGCAGTTTCTCAAGAGCAAGGCCTGGAGCCCTGCAAACTTCACAGGACCCAGTTTTAAGAACAAGTAGACAAAGTATTTTTGACAACATATGAGACAACAAAGTAGACCAACCTTGGATGTATATGTGTGGCCATCAGAGCCGCAGACCATGGTCAGCTGGGCCACAGGACAGGGCTTGCACTTGACCAGATTAGAAGCTCCAACCCAGTGTTTGTGGGCCACATTTCCCTTCTTTTGCCTAAGGGTGAGAAAAAAAGGAGATAAGTTAGTTAAAGCCCCAGTTCCCACAGGTCTTTCCTCTAGGTTCCCGAGATAAAAGACCAAATAAATGAGAACGAGCTGCCATTGAGTCAACCCCAACTCATGGCAATTCCACATGCATCAGAGTAGAACTGTTCTCCATAGGGTTTTCGACAATGCTTTTTTGGAAGTAGGTTGCCAGGCCTTTCTTCTGAGGTGTTTCTGGGTGGACTGGAACCTCCAAACTCTCATTTAGCAGCCAAGCATATTAACTGTCTGCAGCACCCAGGGACTCCAATAAATATCTGAAAGGGCTGGTCAAACAGGCAGCGGACTCCTAAGAGCTCTTAGCCAACACTTCCATTTGTTCAAACTCGTTAATGGGAGCAGGGAAATTTTGTTCCAAAACCCCAGGTTCAATCCACCAGAAGGACCAAGGAAAACAATGTAGGCATTAAAATTGCTGTAAAATATTACTTATCGACATGGAAAGACGTTCACAATACATTAAAATAATCAGAGAGTGTGGCTTAATCAACTTTAGTACCTGGTACAGGTGTGGCATATACCAGAGAACAGCACCCCAGAGCCCTGAACTCTTCCAGGCCTAAGGAAGCTCTGATGGGCAGCCTTCTGCACGGCTGACACACAGACAACTCAGAGAGCAGTTTAGACAGAAATGCATCTCCAAACATAACCAAACGACTTTATCACTACTGTAGAAAACCATCTCTGGATACATTTTAAAGCAATTTCAGACCAGCTTCCAATTTGCCATTCAATAGAGGCTCTGAGATGATGTCACTTTCAACTGTTAAAATAATCAGAATTCTACTCTTTCATTCCAGCTTGAGTTTCCCTGTATTCTAACCTTTGTCATAATGATAAATGGTGCTATTAGGATGGCTTGTGTCCACTGAAGGAACCCCATCAGAGTATCATAAACCACTGAAACAAAGGCCTGCAGTTACTGTCACCCTTTCTCTCTGAGCCGAAGCTGCTTTCCCAGCAAACACATGGAGTGACTCTCAGGGCCATGGGACCAAGTTCTGTGTGGAAGACAAGCATCTCTGGACTGCTAATCAATCAGGCAATTATTGTGCCCTTGAGATGTTCTGCACTAGCAGTACTGCCTAGTGGTTAATATTTGGGTTTGGAGTCAGAAAAACAAATTCAAACCTTAGCTCTGCCACTTCCTCTCTGTATGACATTGGACAGGATATTAAACTTCTATAAGTGTCAGCTTCCTCCCATAAGATGAAGGAAAATAGCATTTACTTCAAACAGATGTTATGAGGATTAAATGAGTTGATGTATATAAAGTCCTAGAAAATAAGAAGCAGTAAAAATGGTAGCTGTTGTTATAATTATTACCTGCCCCAGTAGATGGAGTATAGGGAATGAAATTATCATTGCCATAGAAATGTGGCTTAATCCTAAGGCCCTAGGTTTGGAATGGCATTTAATTCCCTAGAAACACTCATTTGGCCAGAGTAAGAATTTGTTTTCTGCAATTTGTGGGAGGCAGTTAGAGGAAAAGGGTGTGTTTGGGAACTACTTGTTCCTTTGAGAGTGATTTCAAAAAAGGATCACTATGTACCCACAACACAAGCCTTGGGGCCATTAGGGATTCTAGGCTGGATGGGCCACAGGAATGAGCCTACTCCTACCAAAGAACCAGAGAAGTCCTATAAGGTTCTTTTTGACATCATCTAGTCCAACTTGCTCATTTTAGTAGTGGGCGGAAACTGAGCCCCAAGCCAGGGAAGAGCCTTGTCCAAAGTCACGCTGATGGTAGACAGCTAGGCCCGCAATGACATTCATGCAGAGAGGGCCCAGGGGTGGATCTCTCCTTTGATCCATCTCAGTCCACCTGAAAGACCAACCTGAACATTCTTTCAGGGCAACTACATGTCTGTCGGGGGGCGGGGCGGGGGGTCCTCTCTCCAAGGCCTCCCTGCTTCCACAACAGCTACTCACCTTGTCCTTCCCTCTATTTCTGGAAAAAAAAAAAAAAAAATCTCTCATTTGCATTTTTAAATTGCATGGACACGAAGTCTCCTATCATCCTTTGCCAAACATACTTTAATCTTTCAAGGTTTATTCTAGATTACTGACAAAGGGATGGTGGGTGGTGTGACTCCATGAAGCAGATGAGTAGGCTGTCAGCACGGGGTTAATCTTAGAGTACATGATTCCTTCAGCCAAACACTGTGCATTTATCACCATTCACAGAGCAGATTGTCTGACACCGATAATGAATCAGCAAATGCAAACAGAAGTTTCAGCGTCTGGCAGGCCCTCTCCTGGGTCAGTCCCCAGTGTGCATGCTCATGGCTGAAGCAATTCTTATTATAAGTTTCCAGAAAGGGGCTGTAAAGTCCAAAGAGTGGGCAGCTTTGCTGGAGCAGACATATCCACATGCAATGATGCCCCAGAGGAAAGAAGCCTGAGGGAAGTTTAGCCAAAAGGCAGAGGAGGGAGGAATGAACACTCAGTCAATGGCTTTGGGAGAGATTGAACCAGCCATCAATCACCAGTTAATGACAAGTCACCCCTGTCTCTGGACCTAAACTTCATCATTAAATTACATTTACTAAGGGAAGGTAGAGAGGTGAGCTGGCAGGTGCCACTGGAGCACCTGATGCCTCAAGAATGTTTAGTAAGTCCCTTTTGAATAGAGGGTGGGCCCCTTTGTGCTAACCACTGCAGTGGTGACTCAGCAGATACCCACAAAATCATAGAACACCAGAACCAGAAAACATCTTAAAATTAATCTGGTCCAACAACTTTATTTTACAAATGAGGAATTGGAGACACAGATGGAAAGTGACTTGCCTAACGTCATACAGAATTATGTCAAAGTTACTTGATATGTGTTTGTCTAATTAAATTTGTCTTGAAAATCACTACACTGCATTGGGACTATTTTAATTCCCTATTTGGTATCTGTATTTTCATTATCAGGGCTCAGTTTTATAAATTAAACTCCTTTGAAACAATGTCCCTGGATCTCCCTTGCAGAGGGGTAGGCTCAGCATACTCAGTGTCAGGTGGTCATGGGCTATGCCTTGGGGGATCCAGGTGCAAAGGCCAAGCCATTCTGATTTTTCCTGATTCTAATAATAAGCATACCTGTTAGATGGGGGCAAATCTAGGTGTTCCTTACCTCACTAGGACCCTAGTGGAGCTCATACGAAAACCTATAATCTCTCCAGAGGCCAAGTTATTATGAAGATATACCCTAGAAAATCCTACACGTGAGCCCACTGAGGCATAGTTTCCCTGGCTATTGTATGTGTGTTTCAATTTCCAAAATTCAGTGCAAATCATAAAAAATAACCAACCCAGTACGGCACTAGGAACTAAGTTCTCTAACTCAAGATATTTCAATTCTTGAGTCAATGAAGAGTGAAATTCGATGAAGGTGTCTTGATGGGACTGCTATGCCCAATGTCACGGACATTCATCAACTGGGGTGATACAAACAATTTAGTCTTGGAGGCAGGTCCTCCCATCAGCTGCTGAGCCCTAACCTCACCCCTGCTTGGCTGTTGCTGAGGAGCCTCCACACCTCCTACCAGACAGTGTCACACAGAAAATCCCAACCTGCAAACACCCTGCAATGCAGAGCATGCAGACAATCAGCAGATCATTGGTGTTATGGATTGAATTGTGTTGCCCCCAAAATGTATGTCAACTTGCCTAGGCCATGATTTCCAGTATTGCGTGGTTGTCCTCCATTTTGTGTTCTAACGAAAATTTTCCTATGTGTTGTAAATCCTAACCTCTGCCTGTGGTCAATGAGGCAAGATTAGGATATGTTAAACAGGATTAGGGTAGGATGCAACACCCTTACTCAGGTCACAGTCCTGATCTGAAGTAAGGGGAGTTTCTCTGGGGTGTGGCCTGCATCACTTTTTATCTTACGAGCGATAAAAGGAAAGAGAAGCAAGCAGAGAGATGGAGACTGCTTCATACCACCAAGAAAGAAGCACCAGAGTGGAGTGCATCCTTTGGACATGGGGTCCTTGTGCTGAGAAGATCCCAGACCAGGGGAAGATTGATGACAGGGACCTTCCCCCCAGAGCCAACAGAGAGAGAAAACCTTCCCCTGGGCCTGATGCCCGAATTTGGACTTGTAGCCTCCTAGACTGTCAGACAATAAATTTCTGTTTGTTAAAGCCATCCACTTGTGGTATTTCTCTTACAGCAGCAGTAGATAACTAAGACAATTGGCGTTACTCCTTCTCTTTTTGTTCAACTGCTTATTCTCAACCTTTTTTTTAAAAAGCCTACCCAAATTCCCAGCATTTATGTTTTTGAAACAGAGTCATGATTCTTAACTACCAATTTGGTCATGCAACTTCCCTTCTTAAAAGCTCCGCCTTCGCCTCACTTCCTGGGTATAGTGGAAACACCTGGTTTTGGTGTTAAACTGACCCAGCCCACCTTCACAAGTTCACGGTCGGCTCTGCTCCCCTCCCCAGCACATACACACACACATGCACGCACGCACGCACACAGTGACTACTATCACCATCACATATTTTCCCTCCCACCACCCTCAGTTGTTTCCCAGAATCCAACAAGGACCTTCATGCCTCTAAACCATCATGTGGGTTTTTCCTTGACCTGACACACACCATTGCTACCCACATTTCTCCCCTCCACCTCCACTCTTCTCTGTCTAGTGAAATTCTAAGCTTCTTCAAGGCCCAGCGCAAGACTCCTGAGACTCTTCCGCAGGCAGTCAGGCTGTACTCCCACCCACAATGACCCTGTGATTGCTTCTGGTCAGGCTCCTTGACTAATCTCCAAGTAAGCAACTTTATTCAGCTAGATCAAACATTCAGAGGCAATTATTATTCCAACAGGACATGGAGTACACCCAGGCTAAAAGCTTGGGAGCCCGTCCTGGATGCCTCCCTTTCCTTCCCCCACCACTTCCCCCAACACTCAGACCTGTTAACTCTGTTGCCAGCCTACCATATCAGC